TCATCGCTATCTAGCTTGCGAAGGCGTTACGATGGAATTCGTTGCGTCTACACTCGCTCGTGATGACAACGGCAATGTCTTCATCAAGCTTATGGACCGCTTTGCTGTTCACCTGGCCTTCCTAGAAAGCCGCGATGGAAAGCCGCTAGCTAGAAATACAGTGATGTCGTACTACCGGCAAGTAAATAATTGGCTGCTTGATAGCTACCCGAAGAACCGTGTAGCAATCGAAATAACGTTACACAAGATGGCTCAAACCTTAGAGCACTATTGCATTTCGCGACAAGAAGGCACTCACATCAAGAAGGCACCAGCGTGCACGAAAAGAGATTTGCGTATTCTCATGGACGGCCTCTATTACGATGCCGCTAGTGCCAAAGATTATCAAGATGCGACTTTATTGGCGTTGATGTGGAATGCGTTTGGTCGGGCTTCGAATCTCAGTTTTGTTCCTAAGACAAGTATGGCGGTGACTGCTGATGGTGTAATTTTTATACGTCTAACTCGCGTGAAGACTTCTGAAGAACAGGGCCTGTCACTTTTTCCCGACAAGAACAGTTTCATTACTTGTCCGCTGCATGCTATTGGGATGGCACTGGTAATGCAACAATGTCCCGGTATGCAGATATTAGATCTTCCTAATGTTACAATGGGGGGCGTTGAAGTTGTCAAACTATCTGACGACGTTTCTCTCGAAGATGCTTTGATTGGTGTTTCCGAAGCCGGTGTGACTACTGCTTAAAGAGCAAACAGAAGCAACCGGATTCCAGTGTCAAGATCCATGGATATGTCAACCGAATCCTCAAATTCGTGTCAGAGATGCAATCACGCGCTGGGTTGACGGAAAACCTAACGTCGAATTTCATTTCGTCGGCGTGTTGGTGCTCAATATGCCAACGCTGACCCTATGTTGAGTGCTCAATGGATATTTGATCGGGGTTCATGGAACATGACCTCTACGAACAAATCTTTTGCGTACGTATTCAAGCAGATCACCAACTACATGAAGCTGTTCTTGCCGGAAGGGTTTGCTCTTGACCCATCATCGCCATCGTATTGTGACGAAGTGATGCGTGTTGGAATGCAGGCGGAGCGTTGTCTGTTTGAATTCTTCGGCGATCACGGAATTAAAAGCAGAAATGGATCATCAGTCTTGAAGCAACTTCGGAAACTTCACCGAGAAGGCAAACTCGAACTACTCATCAAGGCGTATGTAGCGCGGGTCAACATTGGCAAGATCTCCGACCCAGCTCCTAATCACGTGCAAAATGCTTTCGCTCATGTGCAGATCTCCTCCCAACCAACTCGACCAATATCCTGAATAACTCGACTAAGATCCAGAATAACTCGACCAAGATCAAGATTAACTCGACCAAGATCAAGATTAAATCGACCAAGATCCAGATTAACTCGGTGTGGTCGGCTTAATGCAGATCCAGACTAAGAATAACGCGACCAGGTCGACTTAATGTTTAAAAAGATGCCACCAAGATCTGGAATAACTCGAACAGATTTTGTTAAGCACCCCCTTTAACAAATAACAGTCATAAACATAACTAAGAGAGTGGACACCAACCCTCACTCTTCAAATTCCTCCCCCTGCGAACTTCCCAGCTATGCCGAAACGAACCACTCACCAGGTGCCGGTAGCGGAAAAAATCGCCAAGCTACGAACCTGGCAGAAGTACCCGGAATGGGCGGTGAAAGGTGCTGTCCAAAACCGCAACGTTAAGAGAGGCACACTCATCGGATGGCGCAACCAGTACTCTGATCCCCAACTCAAACACATTCGCGTGCCTCCGGATGTAGGCAATCGCATCCGCGAGAAGGGCGGTGGACGCAAGCACAGAACGACTTCCTACGAATTCGACGTGCTGAGTTTCTACGACAATTGTGCTCGTGAAGGCGAGATTCCCAGCCACGCATCAATTTTATCCTACTGCCAAAATATCCCTGAGTTCGCTTTAAAAAAGGATAAAAGCCAGCATTCGTGGGTGAGGGAATTTATTAAGCGGTATAAAACTCACCACTCTTCTAAAACAAACTCGAACTCAGCGTCTAATTACAAGGTCTGTCAAGCAGAAGATGCAGAAAGTGATAATGATCCCATCCCCGTTAGTCCGACGAATGACACTTTCACCTCCGACATCATGACTCAAAACACTACAGTAAGTGACGAGCGTACAACGCCTGGTAACCTGGAAGACACCACAGCCGACAAGCAGGATATTTTTCATTCACATGATATTGACTCTACAATTAGCGTTAACTGCTCTACCCCATCTCCAGGCCAACCCGAAAGTGGAAGTGAGGATAGCAGCAATGACGTGAGTGCAGCAAGTGAAAGTGATGATAGCAGCAATGACGGGAGCGCAGCAAGTGAAAGTGATGATAGCAACAATGACGTGAGTGCTGCAAGTGAAAGTTCGGAACCGTGGTGTAGTAACAGTGACTCTGAGACTATTCACTCTAAGATGATCTTACGATCTGGCAAGCGCAAAGGCTGTACGACGAACTCAATCGTATTTACCTACGAGGTACATCACTATGAAAATGGTGAAACATCTAGAAAGTTCGTGATGGCTACAGACCTGCATTCTCTATTACCGTGTAAGCAACTCACAGCTGGAGTTATGGATTTTTTTATCTACCGCTTCA